TATATATATATATGTATATATATGTCTCACAATCCAAAATTCGAGAAACTTTTTCTTTTCTTTCGCATGGATGTTACCAACAATATTCGAGCAAAAGTCCATCGTGTTCTCACGTGGACGACAACAGTAGTTAATACTCGTAGATACATCTCATGGCCAAAAGATATTGGTGGCGGTTGAAAGTTTATCAATTGCGTATATTGTCCGAGGAAAATTATATGAATCAAGAAACTTGTTTATGACTCAACTCGAAGAAATTGCAATCTAATTAATTCTCTGCAAGACACATTATAATATAATATTTTTATGCAGGTGATTAGTACCATTAACATCAACTATACAATTATTGCTATGGAAGCAGTACGACGATTCAGAGCCTCAATAAATTCAAATGAACTTATACATACATACAGCCGGTACGTACGTACGTGTATGTTATATATTGTCTTTAAGTAATCTCTAATCTACGTATAATTTCCTCTTTTCTTTTCTTTTTTCGTTTCTTTTTAAATTGCAGCAGCTCTCCCCCCGTTCTTGTCGTTACATACCATAAATTCAATTGAATTCATCATCGACGCTGAAGTAGCGTAACTTACAACACGTTTATTATACAAACAGCTCTTTGTTTCAACGTATAATAGTTTTTCCTACTGCATTTGTTCCTTTATGTACATAGCATACCTAGCGATAACTACAAATAATAACAACTAATATATAATTTATCAACGGCGCGACGACGCGGCAGGTTTATTACAGACAGGAATACATATAAACCTCGAATATCCGAGACATCCGCGGATAAATTATACATTACACTGCATTCAATGGTTTACTCGCTATTATCTCAATTAATTAATTTATTGTCAATACATTCGGAGCAACGTCGCTGCACATTCAACAATAGAATCGCCTTCAAATCGTCTAATTTGGGCTTTCAGCGTTGACGAATTTTTATTCTCGTCTCAGCTTTGATCAGTTTCTTCCCAAGTATGTATATCGTGCAAATATATATACAGCTAGTCGCAAAGGCATTCGACCGTGTTAAATATTCAATTACATATTTTAAGTGGACTTAAATAAAGTATACCTTCAACAAATGTCTATTACATTTTATTTCGATCGTTCGAAAATAAAACAAAACCCGCTGGATAATTATATTTGGAAAACTGAGTATGAAACATTCAGGCGGCTGAATATTTTTGCGACCAACTGTATATGCATATATTTCTCAGAATATGCATATATTGCGAAGAACAAACGGAGACAAATTACCGGTTGGCGGTAACGATTACAGGACGTCCGAATGGATTAACGAGAATCAATCGGTTAAAAGGCGAATTGTCACATAATTATATATGTATTGACTCGCACGTAGTTGAATCAGTTTTCTATATTTGCCTATATTTGCCTAGGTTTGCCTTACTTCCTTTATATCTTATGTAACCTAGATACACTAATAGTTTATTTAATTTTCAATAGCAACCACCCCTCAACCGTTTCTCTTCACGGTTTCTTACTGTTTGGTTCAGATATATTATGTGCATATCATTCATCTATTCTCTTTATACGTTTTATGTGTATATATACGTACATATATAGAGGTTGTTACACATTTTGAGAAATCGCGCATATACATATATATGTATATGTATATGTATATGTATATGTATATGTGTATGTATATATATATACATATATATGTGTGTATATATACATATATATATGTGTATATATATATATAATCTTATCTGTGTTCATACGTGTATATACGATTTTTTTTTCTTTATATATTCTTTGCTGAAAGATGTGCGTGTGTATTATACCTGCTTGTAAAAGTATTTCATATGTTTCCTTTACTCTCATTCCACTTTCTTTCGCTCTCTCTCTCTCTCTCTCTTTCTCCCCCTCCTTCTCTCTCTCTCTTTCTCTCTCTTTCACACATTCTTTCTTATTTTCTTGCCTTCCTTGAAACAATACACACGCACACACTCACGCATTCATCCACTCGACACATGCATCGTGTTAACTACACATGCACTCATATATCCATATATCAAGTCTCACTCTTTATCAACGTTTAACATGTTTCCTGTGTGTGCGTGTAAAGTTCGCAATTTACCTAATTGTCGAGTTTTAGTTTACGTCTTGCTGTTTGGTACGACAGAACTCATAGGTGAAATGTGAACGCTAAATTACAATAGACTCGTACGCTATTCCAAATTCGGATAGAACTCGAACGATGTTCTCATAGCTGATACCATTTCTTGTCTTTGTACTTGAGCATCAATCCGTGAGCAGATTGCGAGAAACCCTCGGCCTCGGACATCATACGCGCTGTCCGCTCCTCCAGCTGCGACAACTTCTCACCTCGCTCGAGGACCATCTGGTGTGCCATATTCACTTCGCCCGTCGCCGTTGTCACGCGTTCACGAAGACCTTCCGCTCCTGCGTTCGGTCCTGGTATATGTTTCGCCACCGTGCGAGATGCTCGGCCGCTTGATTCGCCAACTGAAAATAATAACATCAACAGCGTAGAATTCAAGCGTTGAATTGTCAATACACGACTGAGATAAAAATATGAGACTTACATAACTCTTCTCTATCGAGGCTTCGCGATCCACCACCAAAGAGGCCTTTGAAGAAACTTTCTTTTGGTGGTTCAGGCATATCGTGACCAATGAATAAATCTCCCATCATTTCAGTTAATTCACCACTGGAAATAATACGAGCAAAATGAGAATGATAATTCAGAGATTCGAATGTCCTTTCTAGATTCTATTTATACATCGTGCAATATTATATAAAATTTTATTTATAATAATTTTTTTATATAAAATTCTCTCATGTTTCATTCGTTTCTTTAAATGAAGTTGATCACTGTTGATATTCTGTACTATGGAGAAATAAAAAAATAACGTATTAATACTTCGTTATCCTACTATTTTCTGTTATTATATAAATATATAAAAGCATACGTTCAATACATATATTTATATGTTATTCCTGTTCAAAGGTTATATGCTTAAAGTAAATATATGTGGATATTAATCAACGATCAATAGGATTCAATTTTTCAGCTTTCAAATTGATATTTTCGGCGATGTTACAACGAGAGTAAATCGTACCAAAATTGACTGGATACGGAAAACTTTTGGATCTCAGTTGGCGACGAGAGATACAAGCCGTGGCCTCTATTGCTGAAGCAAAGTGTCTTTGCAATTCTGCAAAAAGAAATCGGATTATTAGCGTGACATACAGTCCGTTTCATACAGTTGTTTGTACAAAATGTGTAAATATGCTGCGACATTAATATCGAAAATATGGAGAAAACGTGTGTGTGATCCGCGTACATATTTAATAAGCTTTAAGAATAAAAATATACTAATGAAAATTGAAGCAATCGATTGAGCGTTTAAAGAACTATCACCGTGTGAGTAAAGATGTGTCGAAAAAAGATTTATCCGAAAAAATCAATATATATATATATATATATATATATATATATATATATGTATATGTATATATGTATATGTATATATATGTAGCGCGCAAGGCATTGCATATTATATTGTATAAAATACATATTGTGAAAAGTGTACTTTATAGATCACTTACTGATCGGTATCGCCATTAACAAAGAGTTGATGACCCCATATGGACAACATGGGGTCTACAATGCCATGTTTTGTAGTCTGAAAACTGTTAGAGATTACAGAGACAGGAGAAAAGTGAGCGTTAAGCCATACACGAGTAAAAAGAGATTTTTTTTTTTTTTGTTAGTTTGCATAATTAGCATTAACCCTTAAAACATTGGATCCTTCAAGATACTTCCAATAAATGTGTATTCCATTCGAATACACGATCCCTGATTTTTCTTTCATTTTCAAATATGTAAAGAGAACGATGTAATAAGAATGATAGGTAAAAAGTAATAACATAAAAATAATAATAATGTAGGTCTTTGCCTATAGGATTTGCTGATGTTTTGTCAGTCTTTTTTAAATTTAGTATAAACAAGTACAGTGAATTTTGTTCGTGACAATATTCATATTCTGATTAGTAAAATTATAAACTCAATGCTTTGCAATGTAACGCAAAACATTTCTCACTCAAATTTTCGAAGTATCTATAATTTTAAACATCAAGCTACTATTTAATTGGAGCATATAGATAATTCACTAAAGTATAATAATCACTTAGGTATTTAAACAATCACAACCTATTATATCAAACAGACTCAAAATTCAGTGAAATCACCTCTAAACACTCTTTGAATATATTATATCATATCCTATATCACAATTCCACATTTTTATATCTTATCCCATATTTTTATAATAAATTATATTGCGCGATTAAATTACAAAATTATAAGTACGTATATTCAATACTACTGTGCAACAAAAGTGTTTAAAACAAAATTTGGTAAATTTGTACATACATCTGAAGGACTTTTTACTAAAGGAAAACATTAAACAGACAATGAATGCGTCCTAATCTTACTTCTACAAGTTATAGTTAAATTAATTTCACCCATCAGCTATAATAGCAGACTAATTTTATGTTGATAGTATAATTGTCTGGTTCGTATTGATCTTCTTCATATTCAGGAAACATACAATAATTATAGCACAGAATAAATAAAAATTCATGAAATAAATTTTGAAAGGGAGGCAGAATGTTATTAAACCTAAAAGTATCCATCAGACGCAACAGATATTTCTTTTCTACTGAATTCCCCCTACAAGATGAATTTGAATTTTCAACTAGACTCTAGAATTTTCTGGTCTAAACACAGACTAGGGACACTTCTATGTTCTAAACAATACATTTAGAAATATCTTACACAATAAATATTAATATTTTCAAGGAGACATCAAAATAGACTATACACACTACATCTTACATGAATATAATTTCACTTTGTTGTGAAAAGATACATGAAAAATCTGGGAAACAAATATGTCTAACACGTCTAACACGAAGGGAGATTGAGGGTTTCTCAAAGAAAATTGATTAAGTAGATATGTGTATTACTAATCAGGATATGAATATTTGTATTCATAACGGAAAAGAATATTTAAGAGAAACAGAGAAAGGAACATATATACTCATATTAAAGAAATATATACTACACAAAGAAGAATATAAATTGAAGATGCAAATTTGCTATTATTTCAAAAAGTAAACAGTTGCCAATTGAATAGAATAATAGCATAGAACTGTCTTTTTTTTTTTTATACTAACTATGTAGAAGATACGAAAACAAGTGCAATAGAAGTGCTTGTATAACGAATTCTACATCAGGCATGCTACAAGTGTATTAAGGGTTAACGAATATACGTTAAATATATAAAGAAATTACATGCTGTAAATATTAATATTGCTTATTATCATTTCACTAAACACACTTAATCAATTATTCTATATAATATCGTGGTGTTGAATATCAATTAATGTCTATACAACACACAATTAGCTACATAATACATAGTGCATCACGCTATACAACGAAGTAATGTAAAATCATGATATTTTTCAAGATACAAAAAGATTTACAATTATTTACTGCTGAATACGATTATAACAAGTATTTGAAATTAAGTGAAAGTTTCCTCCTACGTCAAAGGATTAATATTAATAATCGATCGAAAAAATTAAAAAGATATAATACTGTAGTATTGTAATACGTACTCTTTAATATTTAAAATATATGTACAACATACAACAGCTGATGATGATCTTCTTATTGCCTTTCGTATATATTTTCTTATTAATATTGATTGTAATATTGAGTTTTATTTAAAGAATGATAACTCTGTGCTTTAAAGAAATATTACATAATGTATAATGTAATACCTAACTTTGTAATTCAAAATTACAAATAGAGAAAGAAAGAACTCTGTAATGTATAAATGTGTAATGTATAATAAAACTCTGTAATGTATAATAAAATCTAATGTATAATGTAATACCCAACTTTGTAATTCAAGATTGCATTTAAAAAATACTTTTTCATTTTCACATGTCAGTATGATTTTTTTCACTTGAAGATTTGTGATCAGAATTCTTTTTATAAGTTATATAATAATATTGTAAGAGAGAACTATCGTAACACTCTATCCAAGAAAGTATCCATGAAGTTTATATATTTTAAAAGCATTGTTAGTTAATAGTAATATTATTTGCATTAGTGCAAAATATGATTGCACCAATGCCAAAATTAATTTGCATTAGTGCACACGTAACGAATACTCGGACGAAGAGGGGCTGCAGAAAAAATTTTAGTCGACATTGGTCAACACATTTTTATATGAAGAATCACTTCAAACTTTATTGAAATTCACATCTGCTTCTATTCTCTATCTCAAGTATTCAATTAATAGCGCAAAGCTTGAAGTATTTGAAAATATAATTAGATATTTAAAGAGTTGAAGAATCAGTAGTTTAATAAAGCTCTTACATGAACAATATCTACTTAAAATTATTAATTTCTTTGTCATTGTTATATATATTCCAAAGAAAAAAAAAAAAAAGGATCGATTAGTAATTATTGAGCCAAAGAAACAATGTCATTAGTATGATATGATTTTTACGCTACGTTCAACGTCAATTCATATAAAGTGTTGCAGTGTTGCAAATGTTGCAATAGCATATAGTGCATTATATATCATGTGCAATTAGAATGATCATTTTTAGTCACAAAGCTAATTTAATAAAAACAATTGTTATTCTTACCTCAAATCTATTAGCGGTAGAAAATCGACATCTATAAGCGGCCTCAGACTTGGTAAACTATACGTAGCTACGTGCCCGTTTGAAACGTAGCATACGAGACACACATTATCTGAAATACATAGAGAAGATATTGAGTTACATCGTTGTAATATTTTACTATTTAATTATCCTTTCCTTACGTGTATATACTTTAATATACTTCAGCTACTCTTTTTTAAATAATATGTGTATTTACTTTTAATATACTTCAATATGTACATATGTATATCATAATAAAATATAATTATTTGTATTGTATTATATTGTATTTATAGTTTGTAATTATATTATATTTAGCATTTCATCAAAAGTATAATAATTATTATATATATTTATTTTAAATTATATAATTTAAAATAAATTATAATTTATTATTATTAATTATTATATATTATATATATTATAATAAATTATTGCTAACTTGTTATTATTAACATATTATATAAAAATACATAATATACTTAATTTAACGCATTATGTATGTTTAATCGCTCTTTTACAATTTGCTACTTGGACCGTATGGCGATTCAAGTGACAAAAAACGCACCTTTTATAGTCGTAAACTCTGCTTTAATCACAATATGAGTTTCAGCCAGTTGTTGCCTGTATAGACAATTTTGCGATGGCAATGCTACAACCCTCGCTTGTTTCTCCGATGTTAATACAACGAATTGACGATCTTCGAAGCCCTCTCCGGTGGCTGCTTGCGTGTTCATCGATGGAGAAGACATTCGACTATTACATTTGCCTTGGCTCCCTGTGTAACGATAAAGGACAATGCAACATAAAATATAAAAAAAATATTTTCACACACGAAGACCTATTACACGCACACTATTACGTTGACCAAGGAGTAATTAAAAAGTTCTTCGCATTTCATAGAACTAAACTAGCAGGAGCATTCAGAACGATGAGAAAATTCTTGGAATTTTGAGCAATTCTTGGAATTTTCTTTTACAGATGTAATACAAAAAAAAAAAAAAAAATGAAATTTTTATAATATAAATTGATTAGACAAAGTATACGTGACACAACATACTGTTACGCTCTTTACTGTCCATACTGTCGTCTTTCCAGGACTCGTAAGAGTATGGAATCAGGGCACCGTTACAATCTAAGAAGGACATTGATAGAATACACCCCTTTAACTTAAACGTAGATCCATCTATAAAATAAAACAATCGTTACACAATATTGCTTCCTTCGGAATCCAATGAAATATCATCAAGATCGATACTTACTGCACGTAGAAACGACGACTGGGTGAGCGTGCCGTTCTCCACGAGCAGGTGTGTTAAATATCACTGTTTGTATAGAGCCTAAAGATGTACCGATCCAAAGTGTTGGTACAGGACTGGTATCTTATGAACAGAATTAAAGAATTAATAAAAACGATTCCCTGAAATTTTTATGTCTCAACGTTGCTCTCATTTCAATAAACGTTTTAAGTTTTAAGAAAAGCTCCAAGATTTCTTTCTTACGTATTAAAAAAAAAA